CTTATGAGCTTTGCCAGCCCTGGAAATAGACACTCATGAAAGCCTCTCTCCACTTCTAGCTTTAGTGGATCCAGTGCCTCCACACAACAATTCCATCCCTTTCCTTTGAAAAAAAGAATTGCTAAGGATTACATTTTATTTTTAGGAACATTTCAAACAAATATAAAGAAAAACAGAAACAATAACAAAATGAATTCCCATGAATTCATCAAATATATTCTTCATTTAACATAGAAGTATTTTTGAAGTTCATCCACGATGTAAAATGCATCAGTTATCCATTTTTTTTTCTTACTGAAAAGCATTTCACTGTGTGGATACACCACATTTTTGTATAGTCATTGAACAAGGACATGTGCATTGTCATCAGCTTTTGGCTGTCATGAGCATTGTGGCTATGAATAGTTGTGTACCTATCTTTTTGTGAATACATGCTCTCATTTCTCCTGGTTAGATTCCAAAGAGTGGAATTGCTGAGTCATATGGTAAGTGTATGTTAAACTTTTTAAGAAACTGCCAAATTGTTTTCCAAAGTAGCTATACACCATTTATGTTCTCACCAACAATGCAATGTATGAGGGTTCTAAATTCTCCACATCCCTCCATAAGCCCATTAATATCCTACTTTGAGGGAACATTTATTCAGATTTTTTTAAAAAAATAACTTTAATTATAGATGGACAGCATAGCTTTATTTTATTTACTTATCTTTTCATGGGGCTGAGGATCAAATCCAGTGCCTCACATGTGCTAGGCAAGCACTCTACCCCTGAGCTACAACCCACCCCTTATTAAAATCTTTTGTCCAATTGTTTGTTTGCTTTTTGTGGTGCTGGGGATTGTACCTGTGAGGCAAGCACTCTACAAGTGCTACAGGCTATAACCCCAGCCCTCTTTTGCTCATTTTTAAATTGTGATGTCTATCTTCTTTTGAGTTGTAAGCATTTGTTACATATTCCAAATCCAAGTCTTTAGAGATATTTACCTTCTCTGGGGAGAATGTCCTTTAACACATCCTGTCCTTTAACAAGTCTGGTTGTGATGGATGTTTTCAGCTTTGGGATATCCAAAGGCAACTTTTATTTTGATTTCTTTTTTGAAACATATTTTGGCTACATATAAGATTCTAAATTGACATTTCATTGGTTTTTTGTTTTGTGTTTGTTGGTTTTGTCGCCCCCTTCCCCCACTCACTGCAGCTTTCTGCACCTCTCCCAGAGCTTGCTGCAGGGTTAGGCTCTAGTTCCCCAGCATCTTGCCCCTCACGCTTCCCTTCCCAGTGTTCCTTGCGCTTCCCAAATACTTTCATGTGAATCTCTGTATCAGGGTTTGCTTCAGGGGGATCTAAATTAAGATTATGCCGTTCCATATTCAGTCCCAGATATTTTTGCTGGAGGGAAGTTTCTTAAATTAGTTTGTAGCCCTTATTCGGTGTCATTGCTTTGTCTTTTTTCTTATTTTCCTACTACACGTATGTCGGTTCTTATTTTTATTGTTTATTCTCCTGAATTCTTTATCTCTTTCCTTCATTTCTTATGCTTTAAAAATCTTTCCTTCCCTTTGCCTTTTTTTTGTCTGTTAGGTATCATTTTGATATTCCATTTAGTTTAGTCATTTAAAATTTTTTTTTTAAATTGTAACCATTTATCATTCTGAAATGACTTTCCTTTTATTTCTGTTTCTTCAATAAGAATTTCAGTGAGTTTTGCCACTTTTTAAAGCCTTTTTCTCCAAACACTCCACTTCTTAATTTTAAAATTCTTGTGTTGAAATAGCACTGTCTTGATTTCTCCTATCTACCTTATTTTGAAATTTGGGCTAGAGTTTTTATGCATTTTATGGGTATATTTGGCAAGGTTTCATGGTCCCATAGGGACTTTATTCTGCTTTTTATTTTCCCTTTTAATAATGAATTCTTTCTGTTGTGCATTTTTTGGTGTGAAATGAGTTTTCCTGTACTTTCTTAAGTGAAGGGTAGGCCAGCAAGATTTTCTGTTGTACAGTTTCCCTTTTTGTTGTTGTTGTTGTTGTTTTTTTGAAGTTATTGGAAATCTACCTTCTCCAAGTCAATCCTTCTATTGGAAGCTTCCTCCCCCAAGCCTTCCCTTTTTGCCGGGTGGTGGTGAGAGAGGCTGTATGGATTATTTTGTGTTCAGCAATCCCTTCCAGCAGAATACCCACACTTAGGTCCCCTATTGCTCGGCTCTGTTTGGAAAGGGAGCTTTGGTTTAGTTTCATGAGATCATGGGCCCAGATACCTCACCCTTTTTAGATTTAGGTTCTTGGAGCTCACTCACAAATTGGAGCCTGCAGAAGTGCTGCCTGATGCGGAAGCTTTGCTCAGAATGGTCTTCTGAACTTTCCAGGGTGTGGCTGTTGGTGTTTGAGGGGTTCTTCTCTTCTCCAGTTCTGAGGATGTCCCACTCTCTCCCTCTGCATCTTTGAGTGCAGATGGCAGGGAAGTCAGAACCAAGGAAAAGCTCCAAGACCCATTTGAAAAGAAAAAAAATAAATTTTGTCAGAAAAAACTGGTTATTACATCAAGAAATACTTGTAAATCTTAGGTGTAGAAAAGTTACAGTCCTACTTGAAAGGATGCTTTTTAAACACAGAAGCAGGCTAATAATGATTTGAAAGTAAATAAAAAGCTGTAAACATGTATAAAAAAACATTTTTTCCTTCTCTTTATTATCTATAAGCTTATTTGTTTATTTTATGTCATGTTTAGATAGAAACAAATAGATAAGTTTAAAGTTTCATCTTTACTTTTACTTAAACAAACTGAATATAGTCCAGTGAGATAGTTTACATTCTTCCATTTATATGAAGACTTGAAATCCAATGACTACTTTCCACTTTACAGCACATCTCAATCTACTTGCTGAATTTTTATCAGAAATTCTTGATGTGTCTTTGGGTTTCATAAAATTCACAGTTGATAAGTAAATTCACATACTCAAGTTGTGCAAGCATATTAAAATGTTTCCCAATAACTGGATTGGGAGAATCACTTCTTACATATAAATTAATTAAAATTGACTAAAATAGAAATTCAGTATCTGAGTGGAATTAACCACATTTGACGTGTTTAACAGTTATTTGGAGAAGCAGTTTCTAAACTGAAAAGCTGTAGGAAGTAACTGCAAAGCTGGAGAACACAGATTATTTCAATTTTGTACTATTTGCATATATTGCTTATCTAAATAAATGAATAAATTGATTTCTTTGTTTAAAATAAACCGACAGTAAGTTTTAAAGCAATAAATGGTAAGTAATTAGGTCATGGAAATCACAAATACACTCCTACAGGATATATGGGGAATGGGGAACAGTTATCTTCATATTATACAAGTAAGTCTCTCATGGCTTAGAATAAAATTCCCCGTGATAATATTCCATAAACACATTCCAAAAATACTGTATCACAAACAGCTTACTTGAAAGTAAGATTATGTGCCTGGTAAAGCTGCATTTAACTAAAAAAAACAGGATCAGTGTGTTAATGAAAATATAGGTATCTAAGGTAAACACAGCTTGAGTAGAATAATTTTATAAAATGGGAACAGAAAAAATATTTCTGAATTCATATTTTATAGATTTGATTTAAATACATATATATGGACTTCAAAAATTAGATACCATAAATTTAAGCATATGCACATTTAAAATGTGCTTAAGTATATTTTATTTATTTCCATCCATGTTTATAAGTGGAATCAGCCTATATTTTTTATAGTGTTTTGCCTGGTTTTAGTGTTGATATTATAGTCTTAAATACAGGAAGTAGAGCCCAAATAAAGCCCTTCCTTTTTTATTGAAACGGGGTATGTTATAGGAAAATTAGCACAGCTTTGTCTTAAATCCTACAACTTACCTTTGTTTGTGGGGTTATTACTACAGTCAGGGTTTATAACCCTTCTTTAGCTAATTTTAATAAATGCATTCTTAGAAAAACTTTTCTTCATTGCCATTTATAAAAAATATTCTATAATTTTTCAAACACCATTTATTTAATTTTGTTTCATTTCTAAGGACACTTTTTGTTTCATATCTTAGACACCTTTCTCAAAAGAGTAAATAGGGTCTTAGAAATCTTGGGAAAAGTCAGGTGCAGGGGTGCTCACCAGTAATCCCAGGAGGCTGAGGCAGGAAGATCACAAGTTCTAGGCCAGCTTATCAATTTAGCAAGACCCTCAGCAACTTAGTGAGACTCTGTCTCAAAATTTAAAAAATAAAAATTGTTAAGGGGTTAGTGGTGTAGCTCAATGGTAAAGTGGCCATGGGTTCAATCCCCAGTACCAAATAAAATAAAGTAAAATAAAGAAAATCCTATAAAAGATAAAGCCCATTTGAAGAGGAGATGGACTAGGTTCCTGAATAAATAAGTGAAAAGAGGAAACTCATTTTGAAGAGTGCGTTCTACCCAGGTACAGGGAAATGGTCTCTTCCTAGTTTCTTTTTATTTATGTGTTTATTTTTAAGCTATTTTTTTAGTTGGCAATGGACCTTTATATTTGTTTACTTATATGCAGTGCTGAGAATCAAAACCAGTGCCTCACAGAGGTTAGGTAAGTGCTTTATCACTGAGCCAGAACCCTTTTCCTAATTTCTTGAAGAAAAAGAGTGTGAATAGGAAGATCAGAAGAGGGAAGCACTGGCAAAGGCCCTGGGGTTAGGAAGGGTTCAAAGTCTGAGGGCCAGAGGAGAGTCAGACAGAACTGGGGAAACTGAAAGTCAAGGTAACTGAGTATAGAAGAGATTCCAGGAGTAACTCATTTCCTACCAGGGACACACTAAGTCTCACAAAAAGAGGGCAGAGCATTATTGCAAGTGGCTCAGCCCTTCAGAATTCAGACTTGGCGTCCCTGTTTTCTGGATCCCAAGCCTGGTGGGAAGGCAAGCATGGGAGACTCACAGCTATGTTTCTGTTTTTGTTTCTCCTGAGGTGGGGGAACAGGTAATAGAAGTGTAACTGTCCCCTCTGTATCTCTGCCCTGTAGCTATAGGGAAGAGGCATCATTCACCCTCGGACAGCATGAAGAGTTAGAGGCTCTATTGAGCCAGACCATGCTCCAAAATAATAACCTCCAGAGGGAGCCAGCTTTGAAACAGCCTACAGGAGAAACCAGGAAAGGCTGGACCCTCTGGGGTGTGCTGGGTACCTCATCCAAACCACCTTGGAATATTCAGCCTGGAAATTCCCTCCTAACACAATAGCGTTCCTCTATCAAGTAGCTACTGAACTGGTACTGCAATCACATATGTTGGTCTCACTATCACACACTTTCAAAGGCAGGGAATTTGAGGTTCAGAGGCAAATGAGGGTCAGAGAGATAGCAAGCACTGTAATTAATTGAAATACAGAAGAGTCTTTGTT